TGTTTCATTTTTACAATAGAGGTCTTCTTAAACGACCTCCGTATAGAATAAAGGAAATTGAGTTAAAAAATAAAATAATAGATTAAAAAAAAAATCGTTTAATTTTTTTTTGACAAGTAAATTATTGCATTAATATTTTTTCGTTAATAAAATCAATATAATGTATCAAAAACATTATTGTAACACTAAAACTAAGCCAATTATGAGTAATGAATGGTGTGGTAGGCCTGTAGTCACATACGCCAGTAACGAAACTGATCCCTTCTTTTCTATAAACTTTTCAGGTCTCCAACTGGCACTCTCTAACAGACTCGGTTTGACCAAGCCTCATAAGAACATACATAAGGAATCATGGGTCTCAACAGACGGACAGACAGAAAATCAGATCGACCACGTTCTAATGGACTCAACATACAACACATATTCTAGATGTCCGAGTGTATAGGGGAGCCGATTGCAATTCAAACCACTTCCTCAGCATCATCAAGTATAATAAAAAAATCGTACACCCCAGGAGAGAAACCGGAGAAAAGATTACTCCGTACAATGTCTGCAAACTCAAGAATAAAGAAGTTAGACAGGCATACAATGAAAACATCGACAAAAACTTCTGAATGTCATGAAGGAACAGACGCCAGCACCATATGGGCAGATCTGGAAACAATAATAAGATCATCAGCAGAGGATGTTCTTGGTCATCAGCAAAAACCAGGAAGAGCTGACTGGTTTGATGAGGACTGCATCAGATTAATATAAGAAACAAATAATGCCAGGATTGACTATCGGAAGAAGAAGACGAGACAGACTTACCGTGTTTACAGCAACAAGAGTGGTCTAGTTGTCCCTGGCGACGTAAAAGAAGATAACACAAAAGAGAGAAATAGGAGCTCTTATAACGGCTACATGAAAATAAGGTTAAACGAGATTTATTTGGAATAGTAGGACATATCAGTCTGGGATACAATCCAGGACATGTTTTCATGAAGGACGAAAAAGGCAATCTTCTGGCTGGCAGAGGGGATGTTATCAATAGGTGGACAAGACACTTCCAAGGACTACTGAACAAGGAAGAAAAACTTACTGAGGGCATAATTCAGCAGAACCTCCCATACAGCTGTAGAACCCCTGCATACCTCCTGAGACAGCTGTTGGATAAGTCACATGAACTGGATATTACTCTCCATCATCTTTTCTTAGATTTCCAGCAAGCCTACGACTACTTTAATAGGATAAACCTCCTGCATGATTTACAATGTTTCAGAGTTCCTAAAAATATAATGTGTCTGGTTCGGATGACGATGACCGATTCTAAATGTCACACGAGGCCCTGAAATACATGAAGCACAAATGTTCATAGCACTTAGAGCATCATGTGACCCCCGCTTAAGGAACCTAGTCTCAGAATAAGGTTGTTTTCTTTATTTTAACCAATTTTTAGCAATAGTGCTATACACAAAAAATAATTATACAATATGGATGTTGGGAGGTATATGTAAAAAATGAACCTTGAATATTTAGAAGAGATCCTCTCACCCAGGCTTTGTTGTTTGAGTGATTAAAGTGCCTATTTTATATTTTATTAACAACCCTACATGCCTATTTCATAACATAAAAGCAATAATTATTTTTCAGTACCAAGAACCACTCTGAGAACCAGAGTAGTTTATAATATAATAAATTATGAGACCAATGCTTACATGATGTTTGGTTAATTGTTAATTTCTAAATATACATTTTGTCCAAATGGCTAACTGCATGTCCATCCTCAAGGAATGAATATAGAGATGAAAATTCCATAAAAACAAATGTTAATTTAAGAATAAAGATTTATATAGTGTTTAAATGAAATGATGTTACAATGCAGTAGGTATCCTTGCCAATATATCTTTCATAAGTGATAAACCCCATTAAAGTTTCTATTACAGCTCTCAGCAAATGAAAGGTGCAGGAGAAAGAGCCTCCTAGTTTACTAAATAATAATTCAGATTGGTTTGATATTGATTAGTTTATTGAACCATAAGGATTGTCAGTTAAAGATTCAATGTTTTTGTTTTTATTTTTTAATTATAAGTTCTTAACTTTATAATTACACTGAAATCTTTATTTCTTGATAAACAGGTGTGTGAGAAATACAAATATAAATTAAGTGTCATGCTTTTACAAATATAACATTAATTCAACAGTCCTCTTAAATCTATGGAATTGATAGTCAAGAAGATCACACATAACTTTTCGTTCCTTTTTTTTTCTTTTTATCAAGGAACCAGAAAATTGGTACCAGGTCTAATAGTCTAATATTATAAAAAGAGAAAGACTATATAACAGGAGTTATTAGATCGTTGTTACTGCTGTATTTTTATTACAATTCCTAATTACTTGTTGCTCAAATTTTATGTCTAGATATTTTATAAAATTACATGAAGCTAAATGTAGAGTTTGGATTCTTAAATAAATAATTTTTATAAAATATTATATTAATAATATAACATATTCTTTTAATAAAAAAAATATTTAATTGGATCACCACAATCAAGTACAAATGATATTTTTTTCCATAAACTAAAATTAAAATTTGATATCAATTTTAAATGTTTAACTTCATAATCAAATATTAAGAAATAAAAAAGGTACCTCTAGAACTGCTGGTTTTTATGAAATTGGAATTCATAAATTATAAAATTAAAATAGAATTAGAATTTAGTTGATTTGTAATTATATATTACTGAATAGTTCTTTAAATCAGCAAACAACTCCAAAATTAAATGGCTTTGTGTTTGTTTAACTTGAGGAATAGTGAAACAGTTAAAAATAAATAGAGATATTTTTTAAATAACTTTGAACTCTTATAACTTTTAAAACATTTTTTTTTTATTAGGTTATAAATGGAGTAAACTAGACATAAATATTTGAGCTACAATTATACACATGAATTTATTTATAATCAGGTATACCATTTAATTAGCTATACAACAGATAAAGTTTGAGTACTAAACTCAGAGTAATGACTACACAGAATATTTAGACTTTAATACGCAATAATTGGTCAGGTTTGAACTTAACAATCCAAACCAATTTTCAAATAATATTATTTACAAAATAAATCATAATCGATCCTGTCCAAATCAAAACAGGACCTTTCCCATTTATTATACATAGTGAAGGAATGCTGCTCTACGACAAATTACTCCCTTTATTATATAACAAATATAATTACATTTAAATTGTCATCCTTAATGTATAGAATATTTATCATATTGATTATAAACTATATATAATCAACATTTATGTACATAATGATAACATAAAAATAACATAGTTTTGAATAGTTAAAAACATTCTTTTTTTTCATTAAATATTCCTTATATATTCAATAAAATTAAAAATAAATTAATAATACTGTAGTAACAATAAACAATTGATATATAACAATAAATAACGGTAATTTAATAACAATTAAATGGTAATTGGAAGACAAATCAAAAATGTAGTCTTAAATCAGAAAGAGATTTATGATAAATATATAATTATATAATCGAATTAATAGTTTGCCAACTAATTAAAATTTATTAGTAATTAGAACAGGTTCAGTGCTTTGGATGATGTTTCTAAAGTGTAAGTAGTTTAATATTTTTTTTTAAAAACTAATTGTAAAAAATTGCCTATAGATCATTAAACATTTCGCATAGCTTACATTTTAATTTTATAGTTGAATATTAATAGAAATAAATAATTTGAGGGTGTCTGCATTAAAATCAGAAAGTCAATAAAAATTATAAAAAATAAATAAAAATAAAATTATCAAAATAATTAATATGCCAATAAAATTAAAATGTTCCAAATCTTCATAGCTTTTGTAGTTTGAACATTTTTTGCATAAAAATATTCCTTGCCTTATCATTTATTAATTATAATTTTACCATTTTTAAAATTTCAGAATAGAAATTCTATCTTGTGAAATATTATGCCGGTGTAGTTTCACTTTCCAGTCTATTTATTGGAATATTTAGTTATTATAAATAACGACATAATTTTAATTATTAGATACAAAATTTGTATAGATCATAGTTCTGATCAGTGTAAATAGTCCTAAATAGTAAACTCATTAAAATAAAGTAATCCTGGGAATGTCTTACAATTATTAGTTCAATAATATTAAAAAAAAAAAACACAAAAAATGTTTCTTGTCTTAATTCTATAAGCAATTTTCTTTTTTATAACTATATCTCAATAATTTTACATGCATAAAATCTACTACTAATCATATCGTTTTTATTTAATTTTAATCCACATATTCACAACCAGAAAAAAGTAAAAAATAAATATAAATGAAATAAATATTAATTATAAAATGAATAATGCTTTCGAGGGCCATTATCAAATTAAATTTTGGTTAAAATTTCTTACAAAAAAAAAATTAAAAATGTTAAAAAGGGTTATATACTTGAAGTTAAAAATTATAGGCCAAAGAGTCTTTTATATTTTCTTTCTGCTTTGTCTATACTTGAAAAGTAAAATATCTGTATAGATTGAGATTGAGTTTTGAATTAAACAATAGCTGATTTTCCTTTATTAATAAAAGTGCTTATATATTCTTCCTCATTTGATACTTTAAAAATACAACACCAAAGTTATAATAATTTAGCCAAATCAAAATTAACATTACATACATATTGGAAATTCTCAAGTGAAACACCTTTTACTCTAAATTCAAGTCTTTAGAACATTCATCATGGTTTTTTCTATAGCTGTAATCAAACAATATGTGTGACCTAGAAAATATTTGTTTATTTCAAAACTGATTCATTAGAATATTTTTCTCTTTTTTTCTTTCTTTTTTTAATATATATATTTCTTTTAAATTCTGAAATAAATAAGTTTTCATTATCTTGAGGATAAATCCTAAAATTTTTTATTGCATTAGATAATTTACTCTAAAAATAGACAAATGATTGAAAAAGATCACATATAGGTTGCCTTTCTTACATTTTTTTCTTTCAAGCTTAATCCCCAATGAAATCTGTAACAACAAAGTGGAGTATAATATTATTAAGTAGTTTATTAGTGATAAAATATATTGTTGGTTTGTTGCAAAAAGTCATTTAGAAGTATTTTAAAATAAATAATTAGTAAGTAATTTGATGAATTTTGACTCTGAGAAATTAAAACTTTGTGTACTGATGTTAGTATATCTATTTTTGAACAATATTAGAATTTGTGCTTTGAGCAGACACGTAACAAGTTGTTGCATAGATAAATATGATCGAAATTCACAAATATATAATTTAAAGTTTAGCTTTATCAAAAGTGTGTTTGATGGCTTTTAAAATAAACTGAATATATGTTAAAAAATAAATAAATTACCAGCTACTTCTTCTACAGGTGAAGGCTGGTCGTCATTATCAGATGAATCTCGTCGACTCGACCTCGAGTTTTGTTTAGATAAAGACTGAAACAATAAGTTAAATAACATAAAACTATCTAAATACTATTTATATTTCTTGAAATATAAAATTAAAGAAAGCTTTCCAGTAATTACTATTTACATGTAGTAAGTTACTGCTCTAGAAAATAGTCTTCAAAAATTTTCTAAAATTATTTTATTTATGTTTAGAGAAAAATAGACAACACAATGTATTTTTTAGTCACACAATTTAAAAAAAACTAAATTTGTCTTCTAATAATAATCAACAATTCAGATGCAACCCTAGGGATTAAGAACAATAACGTCAAAATTGGATGCCTCGCATATGCAGACGACATTGCCCTTTTATCAGAAACAGAAGAAGAGGCGATTGCCCAAATAAACATCCCCTCGGAAATAGCGAGGAAAACAGGCTTACAGATATCTTTTGAGAAGACGGAATTGATGACCACGGATGCGAATTTTAAGAGGAAAACAATTCAAACCAAATACAGAACGATTAAAGTAACTCAGAGATTTAAATACCTTGGAGAAATCATATCCAGCAATGAGTCTGAGAGAGAAGGGTTTTTGGAAAGAATTGCCAAAATAGAGAAATTAAGCTTCACCACCAATGATCTTTATAAAAAGAAGAATTTGTCTCTAAAACTTGTCTCTAAAAGCTAGAATATGACATTATAACACGGTCGTCAAGCCAGTGGTACTCTACACAACAGAAACTTCTTGTCTTCTCAGCCTGGAGAGTCTTCTGAGAATAGAAAGAAGAATTCTCAGAAGATTCTACGGACCTAGGAGAACACCTGAAGGATACAGATTGAGGTCAAATAAAGAAATATATAGGGAAACAACAGATCTAGAAACTGACGCTAGGGTGGAAAGGCTGAGGTTCTATGGCCATCTGATGAGGATGAATCCTGAAAGACTTAACCATAATATTTTTCAGCGAATCCACAGTCATAAAAATTTAAGCGGGTGTTTCATTCAAACAGGTTAATGATGATATGGACCAAGTGGAGCTAAGAGACCAAGATTGTTTGGACAGACATGAGTACAGGAAGGCACTCAAGGAAATAACGGTTCTTGCGGGAAAGAAGAGCTCCAAAAAGGGCGTTTTTATGTAATTGTGCCTGAAATGTTTAACTATAGAACACATTCCTTTCTCCAATAGCCAACCCACTTCTAAACATCACTATTGAAAGTGAGCATTACCTCTCTTTTAAGGTACTATGTAATTTTCCAGTAATTGACATCCAGCCTTCCATCCTTTTCATACATATTTTCAGCTGCCAAGAGCAATGATTGGAGTGGATTTTTCTCCTCCGATTACAAGCCTTAATCCATCATTTTGGATAACTTTGAACTTTTTAAGAGAAATATATGATGAAATGATTGTCTTTTCGGTTCCATATTATATTACTGGACACATGTAGGCTTTATAAATATAGATGAGTACAGCCTCCGAAGCTCCATATTTGGTTCCCATAAGTTATTTAATCACACAGATCTACTATATGTTAATGCTTATCAATAAGCCTGTTGACAGTTTTTGTTGTTCTATGTTTAGGTAAGTTGCCACTTGAGAACACCCGAAATTCTGTTTTGATGGGACTTACGACTAATTTTTTATGGTCTGTCCAGTTTTTACCAATCATTTACACAATAGTACAAACTTTCAGATTAATAGAATAAATAATGATAAGTATTAAAAGGTTTTTATTTTTTTTCTATCAAGAGCAGAAAAACTAATTGAAATATGTTCCTTTGCCTCTATTCAGTTCTTTCAACAAACAAGTTTTTTTATTCTTAACAGTGAATAAAATGAGTTCCTTGGCTATGCTTACTGGTCAAAATTAAAGTTCTTCTCTAATCACATATTATTAATTTATGAATGAAGATATAGTTATTTTATTTATATTCATTTTTTAAATGTCATCAGAATAATTAGGATTTCATATGATATAACCAGTAATATAGACTTGATATTATTTTAATCAAATAGGATTCGAAAATGATCGACTTGATGTTAAAGAGTTAGTTTTTTATTGTTAATGTTTTTTATTAGATAATTTTTTTAATAGGTACTAAAACAAGCTCCTACTTGAAAAAGTCTTCGAGATCTAGGGGGAGACCTCTTGTTCCACAGGGCTTCTAGTTGATCAAAGTGCTGAGATTGAGCTAAAGCAGCTTGTTCAGGTCCAAGGCCCTAAGAGAATTATTTTTGTTTGAGTTAAATTGTTAGGATGAATTATATTGTAAAAATAAATAATAATAATAATAAAAAAACAAAAGAAAATAAAAATTATACATTCAATTTGACCAATATTACCTGTGATCCCATTGTTTCTTTACTATGAGGAATTTTAGATATTTCCTCCATACTAGCTGATACTGAGAACCTCCGTTTTAACCTTTCATCCACAGCTTCTTTCATTATTGAACTTGTTAGATGACCGTATTTCCTTTGCCAGGTGTATGTATCCAATGACACTTCCTTCTTCAATAACCTCCTCATAGGTCGTTTTGGTGCATTTGGTCTCAAATCTAATAAGGAAGTTTTATTAATTAAGAATAACGTTAATGATAAAATAAAGCAGGGCTAAAAGAAGTAATTTTAAAAACAAAAAATGAAATCTAGATTTACATTGCCTTCTAGTTTTAATGCAAGATAGCCAACAAATTGAAAGAAGGTGTTTTGAGAACTGATTAATAAAATTTCTTGTTAATCTCAAGAAAATCTAAATATTTTGGTACACAAGTTTACCTTCAACTTCCTTGGCAGGAGCAACATAGACTGGCATCTTTACAAATGTAGCTGGTGTATTATGCAAACAAATTATTGGAAGGTGCTTGCTTTCAAGAAGATGGACTCCGATTCTCGTAGCATCAGTTGACATGACGAAATCCAAGATTGGCAAATGAAGTTGAAGAGAGGATAGCGGAACACCTTTTTTTGCATCCCAAACAATAATTCTTTTGTCTTCAGAACCTGAAAGTAAACTTCTTGATGTAGCTATTTATTTTAATTTTATTTTTTTTTTTTTTTCGTGTACTTTAATAAACAAATAATGGAAATGTTTTTAGTGTACACTCAATCCATACACCCTCATGCCCCGGTCTACAAAAAATATGACAAATTCATACTTTTAAATTTGATAAATGTAATTAAAATTAATATATCTGGCTGGTTCATGAAAAATGGCTTGAAAAATATATATTTTTTGTGTCATTATTATATGTTTCAATTATATTTTATAAATCAATACGATTTTTTAATTTCACTTACCTATATATAAAATATACAGTAAAGGACAGTATTGCGAACCTGAAAATTTTCTAATCCAAGTTTTGCAATTGAAATAAATGTTTTGATGTCTCCTGAGTCCATATAACCAAATCCCGAAAAATGGTGTATCTGAATAGCCTAGCTCAAAAACGAAAAGTGGTACGAAACTGAAATTGTGTATATAAAGTTTTTATAAGCCTTAGATGTTACAGCAACATTTCCGTCAAAATCGGCTAACCGGAAGTCGAACTTTCTATAATAGATTTTATACATTTTTACGATTTTCTCAAAAATGAGTCAAATGATTTTGATCAAGCTTGGTATATCAGTATATTATTAAGCAGTTTTTAATATAATGTAGGTTTTATTGTCATTGATGTTCTCTAACAGAGCTTAAATGGCTAATTTTCAATATTAGCTTCCTCTAAAGTACCTTTAATTTTTTAAATATAACATAGTGTATTTTTGGACTTTTCAAATTTTTGTTTTATTTTAGATTTGACTATTGAAAAAGAATGTTATGAATTTTATAGTATGACATGTTAATTTTAAAGAAATTTTTTTTGTAATAATGATATAAAATGTTTTTTGATATATTATATAATCATTTAGTAAGTAACGGTGTAATTTATTAATGAGATATTTATAAATTTCTATTTTATTGTTTTTATTTATTTGTTACATATATATTCATAATAATTGTTATTTATATTATAAATATAATTTTTGACTTGAAAATGGGCAAAACGGCCCATTTGAAATATCATCGAGATGGAGAAAGAAAATAAAGATTTTTATAAAGAGTATAAGGGTTACAAATATATTTTCCTCAATATTATAAACTTTATTTGAATATTTTACATTATTACAAAATCAACTAAAACTATTACGCTAGTAAATATGGGAAAAATAGTAAAAAATGTTTTTTGAAAAGAAAATATTCAGAAATTTAATTGTGTAATTTTTAATGTTAATTGAAAAATCAATGGAGGCAATATGCTGAAGAGATTCTAGCCCGGTATAACAAGATTACCGAAAAGATACAGGAAACAGCCATATTTTGCCACCTTAAGAAGCCTGCTTCCATCTCTGCCTGTTTTGGGCTATTTCCATCTGCATGCAGCTCTGTTGATTCTATCTATCCATCTGCTTTTTGGCCTTCCATGTGGTCTTTTGCCTTCTATTGAGGCATTCATTGTTACATAGAGGATTCCAGATGGACTACTAATACAAGCTACATGCTTCGCCCATATTAATCTCCGTGCCTTCATATCATGGGATATTGATTGACCAGAATTTGAAGAAGGAAAATTTATCAAAAAAAAAGCTATTTATTTTTCAATACAGCATCGACAAGTCAAAAGTTGTAACACCGATTGTAAGTGTATAATGTTGTTTCACAAAGGGTATTTTTTTTTTTAATAAATCGAAAACGTACAACTAATTGTTTAAATATAATATTGCATTTAGAGTTATTAAAATACAGTAAAAGTATTTAAGGTTATAAACAAATGTTTTACCCATCCATAAAATATCTTTAAATTTCGCTGCTTCTCTCACACAAGTACAATAAAATAGTTTTTTTAACTATTTCGTTGCCTTGATTTGGTGGATTTTATAGCCTTTTTTTCAAACTTAAAAATAATTTTAAATGTTTATGCTCAGTTAAGAAATTTCATTTTATTTCGTTGGAAACATGTGGTTTCCATTAAATAATATTATTGTACACACAAACACACGCACGCAAGCACGCACACACACTATTTTGTGGGACTTGGTTATTTTGACTCTGTAGACCTCAATACGCGTATTTCTGTTAAAATCTGAGATTCGAAAACTTTCACGATTGCTATACTTTCCCTTACTATATATTACATATAGTTTGTAATTATATATAGTATGTAAATAAATACATAGGTATGTGAAAGTAAAAATGATTTGTCGCCCATATACATCATCATGTTTCCTCTCCCTATTAGCCTGCTGTAATGTATTAACAATCAATCTTATTGTTTTTGTATTTAAACTATTTTATCAGATAAGCTAAATTTTGTACCTGAGACTGCTATAGAACCATCTCCAGCTAATTTAACACAAGTTACATATCCTAAGTGCCCTTGCAATAAATGGAGATCGTCACCAGTTTCCATATCCCAAACAATAACATTTGCATCTCTTGAACCTGAAACGACTATGGACTTGTTCGTTATTGCTACTGCAGCACATGTTACTTGATCCGTATGACCGACCAAAACCTAAAATCAAAGAAACATTTAACATTCTCAATGATTATTAATTAGACAGAAATTAATAGTTTTATAACATTAAGATTCTATGAAAAACAAAACTATGATTTAAAAATCTGGTACATCGAGTTGAAGATTGCTACATAAATGTATATTAGAATTTTAATTCAAAACATAACATTGAAAAGTTTAGTTTAAAAAAAAAATATAACAAATTTTTATTCAATTCAAAAATGCAATTAATAGTTAATACCATATTCCAGTATTCTATAACCTTTTTCTGATTAAGGGAATATTTATATGTTTATAGTCAAGCAATTGTATTTTTCCTAGATATTTATTAATTGATATTGTTAATAATAATAAAACCGATGAATTTTCACATGTCAAAAAGTGTTGCTTGTATTCTTATTGTATACAACATAATATTAATACTTTAACAATGAATACAAGATACAATATTTCATTAAAATAATTATAAATGCAAAAGATAATGTGATATTTGCACTGCAGTTCATTGATCATTGCTTCATAATTTGGAAAAATAATATTAAAGACTGAAATCTGAGCTTATGACTATTCTGATATCTTATTGGATTCATATAATGCAAAATTTCCTACTAATTAGAAAAACATAAGTGAAAAATAATAATAAAGATTGGCTGAAAAATATTGTTAAAATGTTATGATATCAATAAATGACTGTTTTCAAAGAAATACAATTCTATTTTTAATTAATTACTTTTTTTTTTTTTTACTAGGCCTCCCCTAATTAAGGAGGTATGGTCTAACTTCCTGCAGGAACCAGCCGTTGTGGCAAGTAGAGCTGAGAATCGATCCTATGATCTTTACTTTGCTAGTATAGTGTGCTAACTACTCTGCTATACCAGCCCCAAATTAATTACTTATTACATCTTAAAAGAAATTAAATATTTTATGAAGAACTCGTTGAACAACATTGCATATTACTATTATAGTTTAGGTAAGGTTGTTACGGTCTTTAATTTAGAAAAATTGTTTCCCCAACAAACTTGCCGGATGCTCAGTGGAGACAGCAGGGTTCGCAAAAAAAAAAATAATAAAATAATCAAGAGTCAATTATATATTAATAATTATCCAACAAGCACCACGCTATTTAATTAGTTGAATTTGGAAAATAGCCAAAAATATAAAAATAAAAAAAATGAATAATTTTAATTTAAAAAAAAAGAATTGGACGCGGAGTGAGCTGTGAACTTGGAACCTATGGGTATAAAAACATGTTAATTAACCTCATAACGAATCGAACCTTCTTACTTGGTAAATAATGACTTTCCCTAATCCCTCGAATAGGGTTTTACGATTCCTTATCACACCTTTAAAAAAATAATATAATATACATAAAACGTGAAAACAAACAGAAGAAAAAGAAGAAAATAAAACTGGCTATTATTAATACCAATGATGAATTTACTTATTTTTATTGATTTAAATAACTGTTAAAGGAAATGAAAACTATGAACAAGAAATTAGATTTATTAGAAAACAAAGAAAATACAATTAACTTTAATTATCAATTATCAAAATTATTATAGAACTAAACATTAACTTAGACTATACAATAAACTAATTACAAATATTTTTAGACAAAATAGATAGGAAATAAAATATTATATATACATATTTACAAAATCTCAATGCCGAACTTTGTCCAATTTTCACATTGAGTTATCTGAGGAAGCGGGAAGTTATTCCAGCTAGCGTCATCAGGGTCTCCCCAGTCCACCTCTTTAAGCTATGAAAATGTTCATTCACCAACTTGTAAAATCAAGTGGCACTCGTTGCTGATAATCACACGTTCTTGGAGAAGAAAAGAAAAATCTGGTGTGCACCGTAAAACTAAAGTATTTCACACGCAGAAATCCTTAGCGTGCCTCAACACTCGCGAGGTTCCGTCATCTCTCCCCCAACTGTCTTTTGTTTTTCTCCCCAATCATCTGTTGTTTATTCCAATCCGAAATAAAATGAATACTTAAAACTAAGACTTATTATAAACTAATAGTTATTATTAAAACTAATACTAAATACCTAATTTTATATTTAACCCTCTTCGAGGTAATAAGAAAACTAACAATTATTTTACGAAGTAATTTTTTTTGTATTTTACTTTTCGTCACAAGGTGGGCACATGAGATGTCATATTGAGAAATCGGTGCCTGTGGATACAGAGTTGGGCTTTGGCTAAAGTGACCAGATTTTAACATCAGTATACTGAGACACCACTGACCGGGGGGAGAGGAGAACGGGGAGAGGAGGAGGTGTGTTCGTCCAAAGAATAGTTCAAATTTGTTGTTACAATAATTAATTTTACATAATGATAATCTGGGGTGAGGTGGCCCGACCGGAATAATGTGTAAAGCACATACTAGACATCAACTAAGACATAAAACAAAAGACACAAACTTTTATGACAGCAGTTTGTACACAATCAAGCAGCTCTTTTTTAAAATGCTAAAACTTATAATATGCAATGTTGTTCAACGAGTTCTTCATAAAATATTTAATTTCTTTTAAGATGTAATAAGTAATTAATTTGGGGCTGGTATAGCAGAGTAGTTAGCACACTATACTAGCAAAGTAAAGATCATAGGATCGATTCTCAGCTCTACTTGCCACAACGGCTGGTTCCTGCAGGAAGTTAGACCATACCTCCTTAATTAGGGGAGGCCTAGTAAAAAAAAAAAAGTAATTAATTAAAAATAGAATTGTATTTCTTTGAAAACAGTCATTTATTGATATCATAACATTTTAACAATATTTTTCAGCCAATCTTTATTATTATTTTTCACTTATGTTTTTCTAATTAGTAGGAAATTTTGCATTATATGAATCCAATAAGATATCAGAATAGTCATAAGCTCAGATTTCTGTCTTTAATATTATTTTTCCAAATTATGAAGCAATGATCAATGAACTGCAGTGCAAATATCACATTATCTTAAATAGGCAGGACTTTTGGTCACCTTAGCTTTGGCTATTCAACACATGTTTGGAGAGGAGAAGGTTAGAAAGATGAAATTAATTTGAATGAGAGGTATAATATAGAAAATAAAACTAAAGAAAATCTAAAAGTTTAATCATTAAAAAAAAGAAGGTTTTTGAGTACCTGTGCTAATTTTCCTCCAGCTATCTGCCACACTTTGAGAGACATATCTCTTGAACCAGTAATAACGTGAAGTGAGTCAGTGGTTAATACAAAACATGTTATTTCTTCACTATGGCTCACAGTAAATTTTTCTTCATCTCTGTGTGAAGAGATAGGCCAAATTCGCAGACTGAAATTGAATGCTTTAGTTGAATGTTTTGTTTATAAAATTATATTTTATTTAGATTAAAAGTCTAATAATTTTTTATTATTAGATATATTGCATAAATAAGAACATTGTTAAAAGGCATAATAAAAATAATTAAAAATGAAATCTTAATTAAGTAAGAAATTAAAAATAAATTAAAGTTTCTTCTGATCAATAGATACTAATGGATGCTATTACATATTAATCAATCCAATGTTACATCAGAAACTTTATAGCTGAACGTAACAAATTACCTTCATGATAATTAGAAAATGTACAACTAAATTAGATGTTAATAACTAGACCTAGGATTAACATTCATAAGAAAGAAAGAATTAAGGAGATGTAAAAATTAAAAAATTCAATCAATATATTCATTTCCCAATTGTGCACCACTAATAGGGTTGGACCACTTTAGATAAACATAAATAGATTGTTATAAGGACCACCCGAAATGGTAATAAATGAATTAGACATTAAAAATTTACTGCTAAAGATATGAAGGACCAGACCAGTTTTGTCTCTAAATAAACTAATTGCATGGGCCAAACAATTTTTTATATGCAGTTTTCAACAAATCTTTATGTTTCTGACCTTCTGAGTACAAATCGGTACCTTTTAGACCATTGGTTTATTTGTGTGTCTTTGTACTGTGCCAAAAGACTGTCCTCTCTTGAAAGGGTGGTCTATTTTTGTTCCTTAAATTTTTTTTAATATCCTGTAAGGGTTTCAGGTCTGAGGCATAATCTGTTATCCTATATGGAATAGTGGCAGAGAATAGCTAAGCATTTGTTTTCCTATAGACTGTTGAGGTATCTTGGTATGTTTATAATAGAACCTGAGGAAAATTCGGGATATAAGCTATGACAACAATTTTATTTGATCAAAAAATAAAAAATTGTATTTCATGGGGAATATATGCATAATCACTTGTTTATTTTTATTAAATTCAAAATAAACAAAACAAAAATCATCAAAATCAAACATGTATAAGCTGAGATAAGGTTGGTGTACACGACTTCATCAAAGTGTTAGACTTCTACTAGAACTGTAAGGAAACCAAACAAATTATTTACTGCCATGTCCATTCATGCTTGTTCAACTTATGAAGTTCAAGAGATTTATAGTTTTTGATTTATTTGAAGAAAAAAAAAGTAAATGTGCATTCATTGAAACATATGCAAAATAAAATAAAATACTAAGATACTTGTTCGAGAAGTAAGAAAAAAAACTAATGCATCATATCTTTGTTAATGCTATTTCAATTTTGATGCTTTGTTGTTGCTGGAGAACTATATTAACTTTCTAATGATTACATACAAAATCGACTATAAAATATATATTTTTTTAATCTAACCAAACAACTTTTCTTTTTTCGATAACTCTTTTCTTGCTTTGTTTTGGAAATGTACTACATATATAAAAATTAAAAGAGTTTTGAGTAAAAGACTTTTGGCAAGTTTCATCAAAATTGATTGAGCTATTTTGTTGCTACACTCTATGGAAAAACATATTTTTCTCTTGTGCTTCCCCGATTGCCCATAGGACATACATTTTGGCACACAGACATTAGAACCCTAAATGCTAAAAAAAACAGAAAAAGAAGCAACAAAATTGGTTCACCCTTCCAGAGATAATGACATACATACATACACACGATACGAAGATACGATGAATGACAGGAAATGTGTTTTTCGGTATCAATGGACTCTGAAACGTAAAGATCTGTTGAAAACTGTACTTTGAATATTTGACCTGATTGCTTGCATTATCTAGTAGAGATGGAAAAGTAAAAATACCTACTTGTTATCCCCATCACCACTGACAACATACTTCATATCGTAAGAAATAGCCATATAAGTTGTAGGTCCCAGAGCAGAATGGAGCAATGTGGCATTGTCAGCCAACCAAACAGTGAAAACTCCTTGTCTGTCAGCTGATACCACTCTTCTACTGTCTGAGAGCACACTCACTGCTGTTACTGTTGCTTGATGACCCTAAACAAAAAATATATGTATAAATATTTACATTCAATAAGTATAACTAGTGTTAGGAACTTTGATGATCCTCATTGTGCAATAACAAACCTTGAAAGTCGAAACAACTAATCCCAATGTCAGACCCCAAACTTTGGCAGTTTTATCTTCAGACCCAGAAATAGCAAATATACCATTAGGAGAAATTGCAACACATGTGACAGTTCCAATGTGGCCTTCCATTGAAGAGTGGATTTCATGAGTATTCAGCTGCCATACATTTACTAAGTTATCCATCGATCCTAAAACAATTTCAAACCATTATTACTTGTCAATTTTAAATGCTTGTTATAAGAGCAGAGCAAAAGTTTAGATAGCTATGTTTTAATTTCAAAACTTCATCATAATGTTTCTTAGATATTTTGATGGTTTTTGTCATTGTAATACCTAATTCAAGAGTGTTTTTTTTGGGGGTTATTTAGTTATTTGAATTGATATTTGTAATCAGTTTATTTTTTCGTCTTCCATATTTTCTAAATGAATTTTATTTTCAAAATTTGTTGGTCAACTCATTTGAGAAAATATCGTAAGTATAATAGATAAGCACTTGTGCAATGTGAGCACTATTTACCAGTTACAGCAGTTATGCCATCTCTTGAAATGTCACAGCATGTGATCGGGGCAGTGTGTGGACGTTGTGCTTGACTTTGAGATTTTCCAGTTACAGGCATTATTGATTCATCGATACCAATTCCATCTTCTTTTCGGAAGCTCCAAAATGTTATTCTATTTCCACCTTAAAAAATTTACAGAACAAAAAAGTTATCTTAAGCCTTGATGTAAAAATTTATTTTCATTCATTCACTTGATTGCATCCCTATAACTTTTTTATCCAGTTAATAGAAATGAAAGTTATAAAATCAATACAAATTATTTTAAACTTTTTTTTAACAAGTGTTACTTGAATAAATTTATATAAATATGACTTGAATTATTAATCAGTGTAATATTTTACAATAAAGAAGAAATAATTTACCTGCTGTAATTAAGAAGTCATCATTGTTGGTCACTTTTACTCCTGTTACTTCTGCATTATGACTGGTTGCCATTGTTCTCACCAAACATCCACTGTGCATGTCAAAAACATAAACCCTACCATCAGCCCCACCAGCAACTGCTCTTTGATTATCTCCAGCTAATGTGACTGAAGTAACCTATAATGAAAAAAAAATCATAAATTTGTATTTGCACTTTAAATGTTAAAGAGGGAATGATCAATGATCAACTACAGAATAATTTTTAAGGCAATTCCTTCATATCCAGTGCCGGCCTTAGACATTTTGCGTCTCTGGGCAATGACATCATCTTCCCTCCCTACAAAAATTAAAATTATTTCTTAAGCTGTTTTATATTATGTAATATTTTAATTTAATTCCATTCAATATTTCTCTAATATAATTGCTTTATTAATAGGCCAACATTAATTATTTTAATAAATTTTGTATTTTTTTAAATTTCTAACAAGTAACAAGGACTCCTGAAGATTGGCCGGTGTCCCCGACGGGTGCCTCTCCAGACGATTGCCCTTGTTGTTCCACCCTAAGGCCAGCACTGTTCATATCCTAATCTTTTATAAATAAAATAATACAAATTTTAGATAAGCTTATAAGTAAATGATGAGTAATTAGGAAATAAAGAAGAAAATTAGTACTTATAAAGAATAAGGAAATAATTGTTTTCTTTAAAGTCGTAATATTGTCATTTCTTGTTCACTAACTATTAATGATTGTATGTTATTAATATTATTTAAATAAAGATATTACAATTTTAATAAGAAAAATACAGTTATAGCTGATTTACTAAGGAAAATAATTTGTCAATAAAAGTAAACTAATAAAATTATTCACTATTTGGAAAATAGAGACTGTATATGGTGGTTCATTATTTGGAAAACAGAGACTGCAATAACTAAAGAAGAAACTCTTTTTATACAATTGTCATATATTTGCATATCACTATTGTGCAAAAAAAAAAAAAAAAAAAAATATGAGATTACAAATTGGAATAAAAAAACTTTCTAACATCTGAAAACAATTTCTTTAAAAACAGTTAAGCAATGTGTCATTAATGTTGTTCTGTTATCCTTTAATGGCCATGGACATGTTTTTATATCGTTAATACAAGAAGCCTCATTAGCAGAAAGGATGACGTTTACAATATGTAAGCTGAAACCGATCAACTTAAATATAATTTAAAATGATACACCCCCTTGGACTTTTATACAACCTAAATTAAATCTGCTGTTCTCTAAATATAATTAAGACAATAAAGCAATTAACTTTCTACCAGAACACTTACTAATATTCACCGACGGTTCTAAATCGGAAACATCAACACCATCCACCTTCATCACACCTGATGCTACCTATAAATGTAAACTACATCCACTTTGTTCCATATTTACTGATGAGATTAATGCTATCGCAATGTCTCCATGACATGTGATAAATTAGCCAGATGTAAATGTGATTGTGGTATTAGATCCTTTGAGTGCTCTTAAAGCCATGAGCAACGTGTATCCAAACCACCTAGTATTGGAACATCATTACATTTTTTATGGTCTCCCAGTCATGTAGGCATTGGTGGGAATGAAATGGCTGATAGAGCAGCAAAAGAAGCTCTTAACCTTCCAGGATATCGTAAAGTTTTCTCAACTGCGTTTGAACTGGTGCGGCCCCTGAAAGACGCCGTACACCAAGATTGTCAGACACTATGGGACTATAGCCCTCCAAATAACCTAAAGGTGATAAAAAATGAAGTGAAGCCATGGAACAGTTCCAGTCACAGTAAACGCAAAGAGGAAGTTGTCCTTACAAGATTAAGAATAGGTCATACCAGGATTCTGCGCCTTCACTTAATTACAAAAGAGAATCCACCCATTTGTAGGAAGTGTGGAGAGAGAATGACAATGGTCCATATCTTTGAGAGTTGTGCCTTTTACATCAGAGAATTAAACAAAGGAGGAATGCCAGCAAAAACATCAACTGCTTTGGGCAATGATGAAAAAATCTTGAATAAAATCATATGTTTTTTTTTTCTAAAGAAGGAATCTTTAGAAATCTCTGAACCTCTTACGCAGTCCTCCCAATTTTTTTTTTTTTTTTTTTTTTGACCTAGCGTGCTTAAACCTTAATATTGTTAAATAACTAAACTTTAATAACCTTAAATAACTTTAAACTTAACTTGCATTTTACCTCTTTTTAATATTATTTTATTCCTATTATTGACAACCATAAGATATAATTATAAATAATCTTACTTAATTCTTCTATAGGAATGTATATTATATCTGAATTAATTTTGATTACACTTATGAAAAATATTTCACATGTAGTATTGCTCTCATCTCATGTAGTTGGTTGCTCTGGTGAATAAGTAACAATGCCAACAATTTTATTTTTCAAGGGAGCAATTTAAAATTCGAAGTAATATGAACTGTTATAGGAATATCTCAATTACTACTACACAAATTAATATCTAACCTTTATAGTATTGTTAGTGATAAAAGGTTGAACATTTTAAAACTTAAACATTCTCAAGTCAAGCAACACCAATTCAAATCTGGCCTGGGCAGATTCAAATTTATTTTGTGGCGGACACATGGAATGAATCTCAACCTTCCCACTCTGAGTAGGATAGGTTGGGTTGTACGTCTAGAACAACATTGTCCTTCCTCCTTTATGTCAGAAATGGTAAAGAAAAAAATAAGCAAAGAATGAGAACATGAATAAAATAAACAGAAAACAAATGTAACTGGACAGAAAAGTAAAATAAATTATGGGTAGAAATGAAAATAAATAGAAACAAACAAGAAGCATAATCCATGAATCAAGAAAACAAGATGTTGATGGTGGGGAGTGTAGTATTTCAGTATGTTAGATATTGGGCCACTAAGCTCCAGGTCCCAGGTTCAAAATCGGCTGATGACAGGTAATTTTTCATCAGTTGACAATTGACCCTGGGGTCGGGAGACCCTCTTGGAGCACACCAAGCCTCTATAAAGAGGGTAATCTTAATTGAATAATTAAGAGGAAAAACTGGTGGTTGAGTGTGATCCTGGCCCAATCGCCGTTTTTTTTTTTTTTTTTTTTTTTTTTTTGTTCTTCCCTACCACCTCGCCTTTTAGGCTATACGGGATTTTCCCGGGCCGGGGGGTGAGGGCGGGGAATTTAAAATCCCCTTCGTCACCGGGACGCGAACTCGTACTTTTTATATCATCTCAAATCTCTGTTATCGGTTGCCAGGCAACTAGCAGTGCTGTTACACACGCTTTAGCCTATTCGGCCACCCCGCCCCCTGCCCAATCGCCTTTGGCCATGATACAGTATTTCATGTAATTAGTACATGAATTAATAATAATACAGTAATTAGTATAGTAAGCACTGAACCCAAAACCCTTCATGGGTTGTAGTGGTACAATTTAGTTCGTTAGGTTAGATGCTGACAGTATTAGTTTAATTGTTGTGAAACTCAAAATGATCTAAAATGGTATGATTGATTATAAAACTTAACAAAATTATATTTCCTACATACAAACCTTAGCTTTGTGGCCTCTTAGGGTATGAATCTCTGTTCCTGTAGCTAGTGTGTGCAGATAGAGCTGGTTATCTTCACAAGCCACGAGCAGAAAAACAGAATCATCTGTTATAGAAATCATTGATACAGGAGATTTCACATTGATCGTATTAAGTAAAGTATAGGTTTCAAGCTCCCAGAGGCAGACAGATTTATCAGAGGAACCTGAGATAGAAGTAAGATTCATTAACTTAAAATTAAAACAAATAAATGATCTTAAAAAAACAACTTATATTTCTTATTATTAAACATACCTGTAATGAGTATATCCTCTTGTGTGGTCTGAATTGCTGTGACCGGTCCCCTATGGTGATCAATTTTTACAACAACTTCCCCCGTTGTGAATGATGATATTATAATCCTAGAATCTTCCCCACCACTCACCAAAAGTGTATTGTTAAGGGCAGGTGTTACGCAGAGAACAGGAGCAATGTGCTCACTATATATTGAAAAAAATTATTAGCCATTTCACAATTATTCGATAGAAACATTAAAAAAAAAAAATGAAAATTTTCAAATACACCTATCCCTACTGTAAATTAAAATTTTAAAATAAATTCTAATAATAAGCCCATTTGAATGTTGAAAAATAAAATAAAGATGAACGTTATTCAACACTATTCAATAAAATTGAAGCTAAAAACATGATACTATCAATAATAAGTAACAAGTAAATCAGTTTTTGGTAAATACAAATTCACCATTATCCCCAATAATGCAACCGTCTCATAAACTCAGTAATGTATCTATATCCATAAATAATTCTTTTCATTTCTATAGAACCTTTATTCCAGCTATAGTTCCTAACCATGAAAAAAAAAATTGCTCTGAATCTATACACATCCATTTTGAACATAATCCTATCAATTATCACAGACAAATCTACCGAGGGGGAGCCTTTTGGACTTAAGACCCCCCAAAATGGTGGAATATAAGCATGTTTTATAGAAAAAAATATTAAAACTATCTCTTAAAGTATTACTGTTCATATAATTACATATAATAGGACTTCACCATGTCATATAGGTAGTTAGTTTCTTTCTTTTAAAAAAAAAAAAATTATCGTTATATATATGAAAAAAAAAGAAAAGTTTTAGGGATGAAGCCCCCCCCCTCCAAATTAAATCCTGGATCAACTAGTGTCAATTATTAAGATATAATAATATGTGATCCACAATGCTTAAATTATTCACTATTAAATGTAGTAATTATTGTATGGTTTAATGCTAAGGATTCAATATCTCAGGACACTGATTTTATATGCTGTGTTCATTCTATATTTTTTCTAAGGTACTTCATTCCTAATTGTTGTGTTCCTTATCCACTTGTTTCAAATTAGTGCTTGAATTACAGCCATATTCACATTTATACCATATTAACTTTTAGACTATAGCTATGTTTTATACAATAATTCTACCCCATTTGTGTTCTTACTTCCCTTTCACACTTTATCTATTATCCTGATGAAAATGCACTGAAATATAGGTAAATATTAAAATAATAACATATAGCTATTATAAACTATTATTATATGTAAGAGCTGTAAGGTGCAAAGAACTGTCCAACACATCATCTAAGACTGCCCTATATTTAAAAATATAAGAAAAAATTGGATATGGCTCAGAGGAAACAATCAAAAAGGAAGCTTGATTGACAATAAAAGAGCTGTAAAAAAAATCTTGAAATTTTCAGAAATGATAAAATTTTACGACAGAGTATAAGCGAAAGGTGTTGCCAATGACCCTACAGGGTAGAGACTACAATAAACACAAATAAATAAAGATTAGAAAATTTTATAATTAGATTAAATTAAAATACTATAAAATTTTCTTTTAGTAAATGTTTTTGAAAATTTGATTAATTATCAATGAAAGTTTTTATTACTCAAGGATCTATCAAAATATTCACCTTAATAATTAATAAAATATACAATTAATCATTTTTTTTGGATAACGTTTTTATCAGAAGACTTAAATCTATTTCAATATTATATTCTACTGACAGTTTTAAAAATAGTATCTTCATACTTCAGGATGTTCAAACCAAACAATAAAGAAATGAACATAATAATTGGATCATTGGAAGATCAATGCATGAGTGATAATTTTATTCCTACTACAGATTAATGATACTCTAAAAAGGTTTTCTAGATAAGAAAATTAGTTTATATGTAAAAGATAATAAAATTATATTCCAAAAATAAAGAAATCTATAATAAATAGATGATTTAAAAAATTAAATCATAGATTAAATAATTAAAATTAATAGTATTAGTGATGATGATATATTTGAAAAATATAAAAATTCATATAAGGTTAATTATTAATATAAATAGTTTAATAATTAATATACCAAATGGTATTAAAACTAATGTTGAAAAAGGCATGAAGATATAATTGTTTAAAAAACTTTCAGAAGAATATAATATTGACATTAACCATCGTTAAAATATTAAATAATTCTTACTATATCCGAAGCTTAATTTCATAGGTTTTCAAGTCCCACATAATTATAGATGTATCTTCTGAACCAGTTAAGAGATATTCAGACTGTTTGGCAACAGCTAGACACAATACCTTTCCACTGTGTCCTAAAAATATATATATTTATTAAATTTGTACAAATTAATCTTGAATTATTAGAATTTCCATTTCTTCAAATTCTAGAATTACTCTAGTAAGTTTTATCTAAATTATTATATTTTCACATTTTACTAAATTATTTAAAATGAAAAATGTTTAGGTGATATAAAGGATAAATTAATTTAATACTGATTATAAAAATAATGAAGAGAAGAATAGTTGGGGTGCTCAGTCAAAAAGGAAGGCAAAAAATAAATTATAATATTAAATTATAATATTATAAAAAAAAAAATAAATATTATAATTTATTTTTTGCCTTCCTTTTTGACTGAGCACCCCAACTATTCTTCTCTTCATTATCCACGACAGTCAACCAATTACCAATTATGATTATAAAAATACTTTATATTTTTAATAGAAAATAGAAATATGGTTGACATAGTAAAATACCGGATATTTTTCAGTTCAATAGACTATGATGATTGAAGTGTGAGGAAAGGATGGACATAACCAGAATTCTAAGAAAGCTGCTGTATGGAGTCAGATGAAGGAAGAAGACTTGAGGATGCTTGATAATTTGCAAGACTCAAGCATTAGCAGACGATGGCATCATTCTTAGAATTCGAAAGTTCATCAACATGATTTTTTAATGAATGCAGGTAGAGTTTAATCATTGGTCAGACATGCTGTATTGAAATGTGTTTATCAGTAAACCCAATCAATAAAGAATGAAAGATAATAGACAGTGGAGAGGAAAATGGTAACATATTGGACACTCTCTAATAGCATGAGAGGTTCATCAAGAAGAGCCTATTATACTTATTAGGAAACTTAAGATAAAGAGAAAGATAAACATCAATATCCAAAACCAGTGGGTTGGATTAATAAAATTGGCTTAATAAAAACTCAAAAGGCTAACTAGCCTGTTACACTGATTGTTCAAGAAGAGACACCCAGTCTAATGGAGATGGGAATATACATAGATGATTTAGGCAAAGAATTACATATTCCATTAAGCAAACATTCAACTTTGTGCATTCTACTTATAGCAAACATTCTCAGACAGAATTATTTGTCATATTGTCAGCAGCAACATATTCAGAAGTTATTGGATGTGACAGCATCACTTTCTATTGAGGTAGTCAGTCAGCTCATCAAGTCTTAGAATCTCATAATGTGAGCTCCACCTGAGTGGAGGAGTTTATACAGCCTTTGGAGACTCTTGTCAGTTTTAAGGACTTGCAGTGAGAATGAGTTCCCGGTCACAGGGGGGTTACTGGAAATTAGAAAGCAGACAAGCTAGTAAGGAACGGTACTGAGATTCCCTTCTTAGGGCTGGAACATACATTAGGCCTCTAAAAGAATCACAAATACCAAGAAGTCCGTGATTGGGCATGGAGAGAAGCAGACAAGGAGTAGAGGAAAAGGGCATGTCTTAAAAAGCCAAGTAATTTATTAATCTCCCCCTCTTCTTGCACCAAGTGGCTACTTGACCTAAATCGGAATGAAATTAATGCTTAATAATTGCTTGCAGTTGAATGTTACAAATAGAGTACACATTCCAAAATATCTTTCTGAAAGTAACAGGAAACTTTTAGTCTCTTAATCTTGATGACCTCTTTGTTTTTATCTCATAGTAGATGAATCATTCATTTTTGTTTTTTTCCCAATGACTATATTTAAATTCTTTTCAGCTGAAAATGCTTTAATTTTTAAAAAAAGTGAAATTCACTAAAAATGTTCTTAGATTTGATTAGATATTAGTTGAAAAAAAGTAATAATAATGTTTAAAAAATCTCCAGAAATATTAAAAATTAATAAAATAAAGAAATATTTTTATTTCAAATTAAATTATATATATAAATTTAGCATAAAACATAGTAAAATCTTTGTTATCTTGAAGACTAGTAATAAAGTCTTTTAAATCAAGAATTATAATAACAATTATTAGCCGAGGAATATACAGAGGTTAGAAGAAATTAATAAACTTATTCTATAGAATTGTTGATTATTCGGATTGAGTACAATTTGTTCAGGTCAATGATTGAGCGTTTATTTATGATGTCTGTTTGGAAAAATTAATTGGTTACCTTTGAATGTATGCAATAGGGAGTTAGACATCACATGCCACAACTGTGGGTCCCCAGAGTTTGGAATAACAATCACATGTTGTGCAGAAAAGGTTGGTTCAATTTGGCGAACTCCACTTGAACATACAATTGCTATGGAAAAAAAAAACATGGTATTGCTTTAATATGTAAACTGTAGAATACCAATTATATTGAAATATAATTTTACTTTTGATTTGGAGTGGTAAAGGTGGCAGTAACCAACTGTTTAGAGGAACTAAAAGAGGATCAGTGAAACCATCACACCATGCCATCGCTGACATTATCATTCTGCTCATCAGTTCTCCGCTTGTGTCTGTTAGTACATGGTAGGGTAATTTGATATAATATAATAATAAAAAATAAACAATTTTATGTTTTGCATTAAATTACCTTATTAAGTACTTTCACATACTGATAATTCATTAATATCTTATATTATGGTTAAACAATCTTATTTACAAAGGTTTATCATAATTTAAAATATATTTTCTATGATATTAAATGGTAATTCCATTTTTTTCCAACTCTTGAATATTTAAAGCCAAAAATTGAAAGATAGAACACACATTTTTAAAATTTTTATTTATTTTATTTTGATCTCTTTCCCTCATATAGTAACTCTGTACGATGGTCATATATTAGTTAATTTGTACATGCTCCATAAATTAAGCATAATTCAGTTATCAATTTAATGATATATTACATATTATAACAAAAATTGTTTTTTCTGTGAGCAATGAATCTCCTCACCAGCCACTGGCCTGAGCCATGATATGACTTGTGCAGCCAACTGTAGAGTGTCCCTGGTGAGGACATCGCTAGACTTCCTGACTGTATAGTAAACCAGTTCTATGTCCCTGTCTAGGAGGTAGCAGCGGACATGTTCAAGAATCGATCTCAGGTAGCTGACAGATATTGTCCTTACTGCTGCTAGTAAAAAGTCGAAGTTACAGAAAGTCAATTGCTTCAACCTATCACTGTCTCCTAAACAAGAAACCCATATTCGATATTAAAGAAAAAGATGCAGAAGCTGGAATAATGTAGTTAGTAGTTTAAGGTTTAGTTGAACAGAGATACTCTGTCTCAACAAATTTTCCATACAGTTAGTTGTTCTTTAACATTGCTTATAATCTATTTATTATATTATTTTTATTAAGCAGGAAGAGAAGTAGAGACAAAGGTTTAAATGATAACAAGTTCATGTTGGATCATTAATCTCATAGGAGGAAGAAATACAACTTTAATCTGAATGTCAAAAACGTTTCCATACATCTATAATATCTTAATTCTATTTCTATGCCATTATTTCACTAAAATTTAATATCTGAAAAATACATTCAAGGTTTGATTAGGGTTCAGCCTACTTCAAATCATCATTATGCTAATTGAATCCTATTCTGCCAATAGAGCTGCTTTGAGATCTTTTTCAATTCAAACACCATGATTTTTAACACGCTGTCCTAATTCATTCCACAAATGTTCTATTGGATTCATGTCTGGTGATTGGGGAGGAGTGTGCAACTGTTTTGGAACATTGTCGATTAACCATTGTTTTGCTTTCTTGGCAGTGGCCGTAGGATCGTTGTCCTGTTGAATAATAAACCCCGGCATAAGTCCAAGTTTTTCAGCAAAATTTTTTAAATTGTTCCTTAAAATGTTAAGAAATACACGCTCGTCCATAATTCTATATAAAAAAAAAAACAAGATTGCCAACTCCTAAAACACTCATACGCCCCCATACCATTATACTTCCAACTGCAGGCTTGAAGACCAGTCACAAATTCTTTGAAATAAGTGCTTCTTTGTCTTTTCTCCAGACATGATAACCGTCATCTGGTACAAAAAGGTTGAATTTGGATTCATCTGAGAAGATCACAAAATTCCAGAAACTTTCCGACTTATTGGCTTACTCTATCCTAAATCTTTTATTTATTTGGAGAAAATCCTTGACTATTCAACCACACGATTTTGTCACGAATGCATTGATCTAAACACATAATTATGATTTGAAGATGAACCTTAACCTAGGCTGAACCTTAACTAAGCCTTAAATGTAGTGTTCAGGTAATAAATTTGAGTGAAATAATGGCATCGTATAGAAATCGAATTCCGATATTACAGATGTATCAAAACTTTTTTGACATTCAGATTAGAGTTGTATCTCTTCCTGCTATGGGATTAGTGATCCAGCATGAACTTGTTATCATATACACCTTTGCTTCTACTACCCTTGCTGATTAATAAAATTAATATAATAAATAGATTATAAGCAATGTTAAAGAACAACTAACTATGGAAACTTTTTTGAGGTAGGGGAGGTAGTACACTAGCTATAAAACATAACTTGTGACTATAATAATATATAATTAATAATTATATTTATATATGATATATAATTATAAGATATAACTTCTCACTTTTGTTCTGAAGTTTCTATAATTTGCAAAACATTGACTGATTAATTCTTTACTGGCTTAAATAATTTTGTTTTAAAATCTTCCAATACCATTATAACAATAATTTTAGTTCTATTTTTCGAAACTTTTATCTCCTTAGTAAAAAAAAGTAATTATAAAACCATTGAAATTAATTTTAAAGGCATAATTGCCTTCTAAAGTGACTCTCTTTTCATTAAAAAGAAGGCAGAGTTGGTGAAGTTTTCAAATAATAGTACAAAGGCTTTGAGAAAATAGTTTGATAAAAAAACACTTAAAGTTTTTAATGAGCTAGTCACTCACCAGCTTTAAGCAAATGGATCCATGATTCTTCAACATGCCTCAAGCTGTAGGTGACGTCAGTAGTGTGCAAATGGGACTGAAATGGTGTCTGTTTCTCTTCATCGGCTGAATGGTCTGGAAAGAAAAAAGCGATGGATAAATTGATAATATAGATACCTGTATTAATTATACTTTTGGCTAAAGGAAACGTTGGATACCTGATTCCTCCTCTTGAACATCCTGATCACTGAACTCGCTAAAGAAGAGGTTGGCGATTTCCGCATGAAGACCCCTACAAACGTCTTGGCTCTGCAAGTATCTTCTTCGAGCCACTTTACCCATCAGCTCATGCTTCCAGCATAACAGTATCCTGCCGCTCATGAATTTTTCGATGATCAGGTTACCTGTTACACAGAACCGCAACGGTACAAAGCATTCTTTAATAAATTAGATGAATTTTTTGTCAATTAAATACTAAATAAAGAAAATTAGTATTAACACAACCGTAAATCATAAAAATATTCCAAGATACGTTGTTTGAACCTATTAGTTGTTAAGATTAGACCTGATCAGAAATTAATAGAAGAGATTTTAAAGTTTTCCCATAAATTAAAACCACTTGAAAGACGAAATTGCGTCACTAAGATCCGAGAGGAAGTTAACTTCGTTGACACAATCAGAAACTTGGTGTCAAGTTTTAAGACATTCAGGCAATTTCACTGTTAAATCTGTGACATGTACTTTCTACAAAATAGAAATTAGCTGCAAAAATAAAACAACTTATAACTTTGGTCTAGTTTAAAGCGGTGTAATATGATTTAGAACTTCATGTAAAAGTTAAAATTATTCAGGTAAAAGTAATAGTAATAAATGTATCTATTTTTCGGAGTTTCCGGAAAAGCGGCAATAAAGCCGGGAGCACATACTTAAAAGTAAATGGTGACATGCACAATAGAGTAGATCGAAAAACAATAGTATTTCTTTTTTTTTTTTTTTTTTTTTTTTAAATCGTTATGAAGTGAAGAAGGTGTGAATCAGGAAGATAAATGAACCGAACTGGAGTGAGTTGAAATATGAAGTTAAAAAAAAATCTATAAGTTCGATTTATATCTTCCCGTTAAATATTGTAAACACTTGCAAAAGTTAACATTTTTCATCATGGTTACAGTTAAATAGTTTTGTGTTAGAACCACAAGAAATACTGTTAAGATATTCTTCTTTAATCATTAGGTCGTGCATTGCCTTCGAAGTTGATAAAAAAAATGGAAAATACAACTTAAGAAAAGGTAGATCTCAGTTCAACGATAAAACTACTAATAACTTAAATGTATTTATTTAAAAAAATTAATTTCATTGACCAAAATCCACTGTCTCCAATTCCTTCAGGCATGACGGGAGAGGTGGCAGCCATGGTTGCAGCCCCAGAGCCTCTAGTTCTGAATGGTACTGGCCTCGCTTAATAGGTTTTATTTTGTAACTTCTAAATTTAAATGGTTAACGAGTTCCATAACAGGCCTTGTCTGGCAACCTGATAACATGAAGATTACAAGTTCGAGTCCTGGTGCCGGGGGCTTTTAACTCTGGCATTATCACCTACCTCCTTATCTGACCCAGGAAAAACCACGTACAGCCGAATAGGCTAGGCAGGTTGAAAAGAAAATAAACTTCTAAATTCACATAACAAAAGTATAGATAACTCACGCTATATAATAATTATGCAATATCTCAACATAATGTTTTTATGGCATATTTTATAAAATACTTCGGAAAGGATTTGGTGATAAACTTAAAAATTGATCAAGGCAGGAAAAATTATCTCTGGGATTCTTGATTTCTATAAACGGCCCTGAGTTCCGATTCTTAAAAGAATATATAAAGTGATACCTTATTGTCTAATTTATATGTATGAAAGTAATCCGTATTATCAATAATAAGATGATCATAGGAGTTATCATGTTGATAAAACACGTATAACAAATGTGACAATTTTTTATTACTAATATTTATAAATTCTTACTAATTTTGTAAAAAATAACTCTATAAACTAATTACTTATAAAAAATGTTAGAGCTGAAATCAGCTGTAGGTTAGGAGCAATATAAATCGTTTTTAATGGACTAGACTTCAATCCTCTGGGCAGCAGCTTACATCCTCATCATTTGAATCCTTTTCGGATAATCCCATTTTATCCCGTTTGATCGCATTGCAGAAATGAAATCACCCATTTGAGTAACTTGCCAGAGGAAAGAGTTTTATACAGAATTTCAAATATACCTTTGTAGGGAAAAGATTTTTTTCTCTACAAAATAAGTCAATTTAACTTTTATTTTAAAGTTACATCATTCATACCAATTTACAATAATATCTAAAGAATATTATTTTTAAATATTTAATTTAAATAAACAATTATTTTTGAAAATCTCAGCAACCGCTATTAACTTAAAATATAATAAAAATGTAGTTACCGTTTTTTTTCAAAGCCCTAATATAAATTCTATCTCACCATTTTTTTTTTTATATTAATATATTGTCATTAGATTAGATTGTCTTTTTTCAAGAATTGTTGTAGTTCATTGTCACTGGGATAAATTTAGAGCCAAAGTTGGTACTAATGTAGTCATGAATTAAAATATTTGACTGTCTTGGATGGTGCTGGGACACATCACAGTTTTGAAAATCAGTCATTAAGTATATCTGAATTTTATTAGCCTCTGTCAGTCTCTGCACTATTGGGGACAATGACAATGGACTCTTAGAACTAGAGATAGGGCGGTTCTTAGACAATAACCGGTTTAAGATTACTTCGATGTATTTCACCTTTATGATTGCCCAAAATAACTGGTTACGGAAATAACCGATTATCGGTTACTTTTTGCTGTTAGAAGCGTCACTTAGGCGTCCTCCTCCCCCAAATCCCTTTCAAAACCTGTGCTTCTCATTCTTCAACGTATAACGGATTCCAATTGTGAACTTGCATGAATTTTCAATTCTTATTCGTCGGTGAAGATTAGGTTATCAACAATAAAAAAAAAAAAAATCCGGGGTGTCCCTCACGTGATTCGTGTTCGGGCGTTCTATTATTTAAAATAAAATTTCATTTTAAAAAATGTATGTTTTTTTTTGTCTTTTCTATGCCGGAATGTCTAGATTGTTATATATCAATAGATTTCTTTATTTTTGCAAAATAAGAAAAAATATTATCTACAGTATTAAATGAGTTATAGTTTATCATAAATTACAAAAACCAAAAGATGCTTTCTGTTATTCCCGAATAAAGGGAAAATTCCACAATTCCAGTATAGTTAGTGCCCATGGCCTGACTAAACCACCAAGAGATTATGAAAAGTATGCCTTTTATAATAGTCTGGAACAGCGGTTTGAGTCTTGCCCAAGATCTAATGTTAAGATTATTCTGGGAGATTGTAATACGCAGGTAAAAAAGGATAGAGAATTCCACAAATAAATGCTATTTCGGGTTACTGAAGGATTTCAAGAGCAGGGCTATTTCACGAAACTCAAAGATAAGATTATACAAGGCCCTGATAAGACCAGCACTCACTTATGCCTCAAATGCTTGACATTACATAGTATACAGGAGCTCTTCTCCATAGGTCCGAGAGGAAAATATTAAGGAGAATTTATGGTCCAGTCCAATGGAACCCGGAGGACAAGGAGAAACGCTGAGCTAACAAGACTCTATAAGAGCCCAGACATCGCAGGAGTGATAAAAGTAGGATACCTTCAGTGGGCAGGACATGTAATTAGAATAGCACCTGATCAGATTCCTTTGGATGGTCCTAGACGAAAGTATTAATGGAATAAGATGTGCGTAAAGACCTTGACTCCAGCTTTTATATAAATCAAAAATTGCTAATTTTATCACTTGAATTTTATTGCGAATTTTTTTTCTCGGTTGTTAACTAAAGTATTCATAATTTCTTAGGATTTTCTACAAATTTAACGTTAGTATAACAGTTGGAAAGGTGAATTACTTCTCTTCCAGTCCATATATATATATATATATATATATATATATATATATATATATATATATATATATATATATATATATATATATATAAATTTTAGATTTCATTCTATATAGATATTATTTCTATATTCTATATTGAATTAATTAATAATTTATTAATAATAAACGAAACCTCACAATAGCTTTAAAATGCAACCTCGTTTTAGAAAAAAGCTAAAACTCCTACGTAATATACCTCAAAATACATATTTCTAATTAGGGATTTGGAAAAAAAATACAAAATTATAATAATTTTCTAAAAATCAGATTTTCTATGTTTTGTGTTAATCTTTATATAAGGAACTGAAATGCAAAAATATTTTTTGTCGATGTTGAATCTATTGATGCAATTGTGAATGACACCTTAAAGGCATAAAAACATTTTAAATTGTAAGTAGGAGATTCAATGGAATATTTTTTTTTTAATAATTAGTATATTGAGATATGATGGAGTTCGAATGATAATGGCGCAAGTCAATTTTGATTTGTCTATAGAAGTGAGTGTTTTGTAAAAGTACTTTAATGATGATATACTAATAAATAATTATTTAATAATAACGTATTACTCAAGTACAAAAAAAAAACTTTCTGAACAAAAAAAAATTACCTTTCTCTTGTTTCATTCTTATCTCCATACAGTTGTTTTCAGTTTTCTCAAATACAAGACAATGCATTTCAGCATAATTTATATTAGAAAAAGTTTAATGTTAATTCAAAAATGCTGCAAATCATTACCCAATGGTTTATTATTTCTAAGCAATTATATATCAAACATAACATTACTTTCCTTGTAGAATAAGGAAAAAAGAAATAAAAGATGATTCATAATATTGCCCTAAATATTTTTTTATTTCACCATCAGTAATTTTCTAAGAAAAATAAAACACATTGCTTCAGTTGATGTAACACTTTCAGGAAAAAATCTGGTGTGTGCATCACACAACTTTCACTTACCGCTCTTCTTGGAAAAACAATTCATGTCTGGCGAAATCGGGCTATTACAAGAAGTTTTTGAAGTGCATCTCTGATATAGCTAAACGTTAAATAATATATTTTTGGATTTTGATCATATTCATCAATATAAAAACCCATTAAGACCGTCACAATAACATAAACCCTATTTATAAGATCGATTGTAGCCTATAAAAAGCTTAGATGTAAATGCATCAATTTATTTGAATCACATTAGTCCAATCTGTAAGCTCTATAGACTATGAGAGATTTGAAAGTATATATATTTAATTATGATCCGGTAAGGATTGTACTACATTGTAAAAATAATAGTTAATAAATCTCTATCACATGCATTTAAATTCTTATTTTTTATTCTTGAAAATAAACAAAAATACAGTTACTTGCTTTTAAACAATATAG